AAACCAAAAACAAAAAACCAAAAAAGCCAAAAACGAGCCACTTACGTAACCCCCCCTACGCCTAACCCAACCCCCCCCCCCCACGCCCCCGGGACAGAAGTACGAAAAATTCTAGAAGCCCCTATCCTGCAACCCTGATACTAGACCTCCAGACTTTCCTATCAAGGGCCATGTCCTTGGAAATCCGCATTCTAGCCATGTCATGCCTAATCACCTCTCCCCAATACCTCTTGGGCCTCCCTCTGCCTCGACTCGCGCCAACCACCGCCAGCCGCTCACAACTCCTCACCGGGGCATCGGGGCTTCTCCTCCACACATGCCCGTACCACCTGAGTCTCGCTTCCCGCATCTTCTCATCTACTGGGGCCACCCCCACCTTCTCCCGAATAACTTCATTCCTAATCCTATCTAACCTGGTGAGCCCGCACATCCACCTGAGCATCCTCATCTCCGCAACCTTCATTCTCTGGACATGGGAGTTCTTCACCGGCCAGCACTCAGCCCCATACAACATGACAGGTCTAACCACAGCTCTATAAATCTTCCCCTTGAGTTTCTGTGGCACTTTCTTGTCACACAAGACTCCTGATGCAAGCCTACATTTCGACCACCCCGCCCCTATACGGTGAGTGACATCCCCGTCGATCTCTCCGTCCCCCTGAATCACCGACCCAAGATATCTAAAACTGTCCCTCTTGGCGATGACCTGAGATCCAAGCTTGACGTCCCTGCCTACTTCGCTCAGCTCGGCGCTAAACTTGCACTCCAGGTACTCTGTCTTAGCCCTGCTTAGTTTGAAACCCTTGGACTCGAGAGTCTGTCTCCAGACCTCCAACCTCTCGTTAACACCGACCCTCGTCTCGTCTATCAGGACTATGTCATCAGCAAAAAGCATACACCATGGCACATCCCCTTAATAGACAACCTTATATCTATTTTATTTTTAGGTCAAATGCTAACTACATAATTACTAGCAATGTCCTAATTAAAAAGGAACTAGAGTGGATTATTCTCAAAGAATATAGATACTTTACGCACCAATGTAATTCTTTCTAGCAATTATATTCTGGGGCGGATCCACAGTTTAAGCTAGTAGCTTTGGCCTACACCCAATATATGTATTAAGAAATGAACTAAATATGCGCAAATATAAAATTTTGAACCCACTTATTAGCACGATCAATGTCCAAGAATCCCAAACTCATAAAGTTCCAACACTGGATCCGCCTTTGTTACATTCTACTCTTGATCGGAAACATAGCAAGGTGGAGATAAATTGAATTGCTACTAGCAGCGGCGGATTTAGGGGGGCGGAAGGGTGTTGACCCGAGCCCCCTTCGCCGAAAAATTACACTATATATATAAGGCATAATCTGTTTTTTATCTATAAATATTATGTTTTGAATCCCTTTGACATAGCTTAAAAGCATAGCTTAGTGGTTCAAGGGGTTCGAAACTTTTGTAAGGTCATCGGTTCTATTCCCACTAGCTACAATCTTTTTAACTTTTTTCTTTTTTGAACCCCCTTTAAGTTAATCCTGCCTCCGCCACTGGCTATCAGCTCGCTACAACAGTTATCAACCATAAAAATAAAAAATAAAAATAAAAAATAAAAAAAAGTGAAGATTGAAAAATAGGAACTCACGTTTGTAGTAAACTCATCAACTCATCTTCACCATAAGAGCCCGCCGCAAGCTTCGTTGTAATTTTATGCATCAAATTGCCATGACCATCAAATTGCTGCAAAATAAATCAAGCAGATTAAGGAGTCAAAGGACACATAACTTGAAGTAGAGGCGCATCGAGCATAAAGACCGTTGAAGCACGTCTCCAGCTCCAACTTATATATATTTGTTAAAAATATTTATAAATTTTTTTAAACCTGTACATTAGAAAAAGTAGTTATCAAGATCTTTTCAAGAGAGTAAGTGGAAAAGAGTTAATGCTGACATGGAAAGAGCCGGTCCAATTGCCCAAATTGAGGCGAATGAAACGCTGAAGAGCGTCGACACTTATTGGTAGTTCGGTTGTGTTGCGATTACTTTGGACCGCCGCGCCATTGGTACTGGAGCATGACGGTGGTTTCCTCGACTGGTTCTTCGGAGACCGGAATGGAAAAAAATTCGGAATAACAAATTTGTCATTCCATGGACTTAGGTTTATTTTTGGTGTATTTGATGAAGCAAGTGAAGTGGGAGAAGCTGGAGGCACAAAAATGGCTGACATAGCCGTTGCCATGGAGGGAATTGGGACGCTTCTTCCTGTTAGTGCCACCATATGTGGATTATCTTATCCCATTATCTAGCTCCTCGTTTAGTACCCGACCCGACCCGACTCTAAGAACCGTTTAGACATTTCAGCACAAAGATATCTTTTATCCAAGTTCGTCTCCTTTTGGTTTTTTAATGTTAAAATTGCAATTCAATTCCTTCTTTTATCACACCGAAAAAATGTACTCTGAAATAGCAACGTGTAGTTTCACTCTGTATCAATTTATGTTTAATGATTTATTTGCCAATACTCAGCTAAGTGGGCGTTTGGACATAAGAATTGTAAAATTTCAAAAATAAACAAAAAAAGTTTTAAGTGAAAATAGTATCTGAAAATTAGAGATGTGTTTGGACATGAATACAAATTTCGGCTGTTTTGAATTTTTGTGAGTGATCTGAAGTAAATATTAAAAAATAACTTTTTGGAATTTTTCAAATTTTCAAAAGATTTTCAAATTCATCTTCAAGTGAAAGGTGAAAAATTTATGGCCAAAAAGGCAGAAACTTATTTCGGAAAAAAGTGAAAAAAAATTCAAGGCCAAACGAGCCCTAAGTATCACTCAAAATATGAGTTGATTAGGGCGGAGCTAGGTGGGCTGAAGGGGGTTCAGCCGTAAAATCCTGCTGCCCCTGATAATTATGCATAGAGGCGGAGCCTGGATTCAAGCTTATAAGTTCGGGATTCTAATTGTTTTAAGTTATTGAGTTTTTAATGAATTTTTTAAGACAAATACAGAGTTCTAATCAAAGTTATTAGGTTCAGCCGAACCACTCCGCCCTGATTATACGCGTACTACTAATTAAGTAATTGTTTAGCCGGACTGGAACAACATAGAAAATTATGCTAGAGATTGTCAAAAGTAAAAAGATAAACGTCGGGATGATTTTTTAGTTATATGGAAATAGTTACTCTATGATTTCGAGATTCCATTCCTCTAAACTAATGTTAGATAATTAATCCACAGTGAATCTTTTTCCTTATTTTTTTCCCCCAATATTTCTTATAGAAAAAGGAAAAAAACAGAATTGACTTTCCCTACAAGAAACCAGAATAACTTGTTCGTCAAACAACAGAGTTACCTACTATACTTCTTGCACAAAACCGCAGTCAATGGAGAGAGTACGTAACCATAGTCTATGAAGGGCTAAAATTCAAGAGACAATTGTGACGATGATTTTCTACAAAGGAAGTTCTCTCAACAACATGAAAACGCTCAAAACCTTTGGAAAATCCATGCAGTTCAATAGAAACCTCTCAACTTCTTCTTCTTCTTCTTTTATATTTAAACCCATGCAACAATTACACAACAATTCTCATACCATAATCCCTTTACCTATGTCGTCTAATATCCGCAACTTCTGCACTGATACTGATTACAAAATCCGGACACCCATAAACTTTGGCATCCACTTTGTTCCCCAGCAGACAGCCTATGTAGTCGAACGTCTTGGTCAGTATATGACGATCTTGAATCCAGGCCTTAATTATTTGATCCCATTCGTCGATAAGGTCCAATACGTACACTCGTTAAAGGAGCAGGCAATTCTGATATCGAAACAAACTGGGATTACAAAAGACAATGTTCCAATTGAAATGGATGGTGTGCTATACATCAGAATTGTTGATCCTGTTTTAGCTTCATATGGAGCAGAGGACCCTATTTACGCTGTGGTCCAGTTAGCGCAAACTACAATGAGGAGTGAACTTGGGAAAATTACACTTGATAAGACTTTTGAAGAGCGAGTTGAGTTGAATAGAAACATACTTAAGGCTATTAATGACCGGCCATTACGTACTGATTGGGGAATAGAGTGTTTAAGGTATGAGATTAAAGATATAACACCACCCAAAGGTGTTAAAGTGGCTATGGAGAGACAAGCTGAAGCAGAGAGGAAAAAAAGGGCTCAAGTACTAGTTTCTGAAGGGCAACGACAAGCGGATGTTAATGTTGCAGATGGGAAGAAAATGGCTGTGATTTTGGAATCTGAGGCTGCTAAAAAGGATCAAGTAAATAGGGCTAAAGGTGAAGCTGATGCTATTTTTGCTAATGCTCAAGCGACGGCACGAGCAATTTCTGAGGTGTCACGAGCAATTCTTGAAAATGGAGGTGCTGATGCTACTAGTCTGAGGATTGCTGAGCAGTATGTTGAAGCGTTTGAGAAGATAAATAAGGTGGGAACTGTATTGTTAATTCCTGAAGATGCTGATGATACTGCTAGCTTAATTTTTCAAGCAGTTACTATACACAGTAAACTTTCAACTAGTAAGTAGTAGTAGTATGAATTTTTAAGTAGTAGTAGTACTATGAATTTTTTTTTGGGGGAGTGGGGTTTTACATTATTGTCAAAAGTATTTCAATGCATTTTTAGTAGTATAGGATTTTTTTATCTCAAAAGTATCTTATTAGTTTTGGATTTTAGACTATTGCTAGTGATTGTTGCATCAATAAAGATTCTAAACAAATAAAGGGTAGCTCGGTGCACTAAACTCCGACTATACGCAGGGTCCAGGAAATGGTCGGACCACAAAGGTTTATTGTACGCAATCTTACCTTGCATTTATGCAAAAGGCTGTTTCTACGGCTCGAACTCGTGACCTCCTGGTCACATGGCAACAACTTTACCAGTTACGCCAAGGCTCCCCTTCTAAACAAATAAGTTTGGTAAATCATTCCAATTACTATATATGCCTTTCCACTGAAACAGAGTAGTTTTCTGTTTTCTCTCTATTCTTCTGTATGATTTGGAAGAATAGAGAGGAAACTAGAGCCTAATTCACTTTTTCCTCGTAGTCTCAAGATGCTATTATTTTCTTGGGCTAAACTAGCAAGGAGAATTGGCAAAAGAATAAGGCTAATATATAAAGATAAAACTAGATAAAATCTCCAACGCAGTTGATACATAATCTGAGTCACATGACCAAAATGCTTGCATTGTTATACTTTTAAATAGCAATTTTATGAACTCTAAATTGAAAACAAAACCTAGGACACTCTTTAAATAACTATTGTGGTACTGTACAGTGGCGGAGATACAGAGGCGGACCCAGAATTTTAAGCTTATGGGTTCCTACAATAATGTCAAGTTAATTTACATGATAACTGGACCAACGAACTGGGTTCCACGCCAAATATTCTTATACTTTTAATAAAAAATTTAGTACAAATACAGGATCTAAGCAAAAGTTACTGGGTTCACGGGAACCCGTAATGTTTGATCTAGATCCGCCCCTGCGGAGATACCATTTGAACGCGGTGTCGCTCAACACCACTTTATAACAATTTTTTCTTATATATGCGAGGATATATGTTTCCTAAAAGACAATTTGTATATTTTCCTGAAATAAATTGCTTGAAAATAATACATTATAAATATTAATTTGAGACATGTATGAAGTAAAGTCCTAAACCATGCATATATCATACATAGTCCTAGACACTTACAAGTCGAATTGTGGCAATAGACTGACGTGTTTGGATAAAATCTTGCATACATCACTGGTACAACGGAGTCAAAACGATCTAGCACGAGCAAACAAGAGGACCCAAACAAGAGTAACCACAAAGGTAACAGCTGGTGTAATAAAATGTTTGCCAATCTGTGGTGGAGAAGCATTAATTTTGGCTGATGAAAAAGAAGAAGGTGCAGGAGAAGCTGGCAAAGGTTGTTCAACATTTATAGCTAATTTCATTCCATGGAAACAGTAACCTCCACTGCTGATAAAGTAATAAGGTCTTGCCTGAGTTAGCTGATAAACATCTCGCCCGCCCCTTGTAATGTTTGTTATAAACTCATGATCAAAGCACTGCTCATAGTTGGTTTGGTTCACCTCAAGCACAGTGTAAAGATGCTTGTCAAATACAAAATCTGAAATGAAACCCATAATTAGATTCAAAAACCATTTTAGTTCTCAGTATTTGTCTAATTTTACGTTTGTTCTTCAAACATTTTGGGAATAACTAATTCAAGCTTATATCTTTTAATGAAAACAAAAAACAAAAAGGAACTTTTAAATGCTAATGTTATAGACTTATAGGTGGCCGGACCTACAGTGATAGAAGTGGATTCAATTCAATCCACCATTTTCTAGTTACATCATCGATATTGTAGTATGTATAAAATATTGAAAAGTCATACTAGTATGCCATAAATTTATATTTTTTGAACCCATAAAACTCAAAACCTTAACCCATAAATTTTAATTTTGAATCCGCCTTTAGTTTACATGAAATTCATCCTCTCAATATTCAAATGCATCTCAAGATGCTTCCTAGCATAAGGAAAATCTTATGTACTATAATAACTTTTTAAGTTAAATTAATAATCTGAAAAATATGACAAGTTATTTGTCAAAATATGCTAATATAAAATAGTGAAAAAGTTGTGTTATTTGTACATCATACCCCTTTACAATTTTAAATTTAAGAAAATGACCTTTTCATATCTTTTAAGTATAAAAGACACATCTCTTAGGTGTAAAAGTAATAGCCTGTTTGGGCAAGTTTTTTTTGAGGCCAAAAGTGCTTTTGGCCAAAAATTCGGAAGTTTGGTCAAGCTTTTAGAAGGAAAAAAAGTGCTTTTGAGGAGAAGCAGAAACAATTTTTGAGAAGCAGAAAAATGTAGCTTCTCTCTAAAAGCACTTTTCTGAGAAGCACTTTTGAGACACTTAAAAGCAGTTTTTAAAAGGTTGGCCAAACACTAATTACTACTCAAAAGTGTTTTTCAAATTAATTAGCCAAACACAAACGGATTCTCACCAAAAGTACTTTTAAAAAAAGCACTTCTCAAAATAAGCAGATTTTAGAAGTTTGGCCAAACATGCTATAAATCTTTGATGCATAAAAAAAAAAGATAGGATCATAAAACTAAAAGCAAGTTTGTAAAGGCCAAAAAAACTAATTGACCCGTAAAAATTCAGTACACCATTATGATATATAAGTTAAATCCAAATAAAATATAGTTGAGTGTGTGAGAGAGTGGAGAGGAAGGTTAAGGTCACTCACAAAGCCAATCGCCGACGTAAAAATGGCGATGAACCGCCCAATCAGTGTAGTTAACATTCTGTGTCCAGCCATATTTGCCGCCCACCTTATCAAGCCCACTGGCCGCCCACTTTATCAAGCCCAATAACATCGTCACCCTAACCAGCAGTATCGTCCCCTCTGTTCTCATTATCCCAAATTGAAACACTTGCCTTTCTCTCTTCTTTTGTGGATTGTGAAGCTAGAGTTTGATCAAGGGGCAAATAGAAAAGAAAATGACCAATCTTGGCAAGACAAGGTAGCAACAATATATTGCTATAAACCAATATAATTCTCTATGTATAGCAGGAGATTTGTGTTAGGAACCTGCACTACTGCATGTTGAAAGTGGGATACGGACATACAGGACTGCGTGAGTCTACATGCAAACCAAATGAGCATTTTGATCATTTTCCGGACTGATCAGGGCATATGCCACAATAAATAAATGGGTAAAACAGTGCCTAGTTTTGTCTCCTTTTTCTGTTCGTCCATTTGGGACTTTTTTTTTTGAAGCATTTCTCTCTTGTCGTATGTGCCCCACCCTGCTCATTTGTTCATGTTGTTGCACAAATAGAAATTGGTAAAAACTTATTCGAAGTGTACACCAAATCGTACTATATTTGTCCTGATTAAGTGATAAATTATATTAAGGAGAAACTGGAGTATATATTATTTAACTATAATTTAGTGATAACCATGATTATCAAGATATATGTCATGTATTTATTGATATAAACATCCGGTACGGATAAGTGTTTACCAAAGGACACGCAATTCACATGAATAAATTTTGAGATCTCTAAACTTTGAGTTTGAACTCGTCATATTAAGGTTCGTGTTAGGAGCGTCTTACTCCATATGCGAAGAGTTCTTACATCTAGGTTTTCAACAATATTCATATAAGACTTACAAGCCTGACGAGCATCAAATTTCGGGTCTTTAGTCCCAAGTCCTAACATAATAAGGTTCTGTGACAGCTTAATGTAAGCCTTGGTTAACAGCAATGATGTATGTTTGCACAAGATCTCATGAAGGTTTCATTCGAAATTGTAATGGAGACCTAAACTGCAGTAATTGGTTTGATCATATTACTAATATTTTTGTATACGGTCGAGATCGTATGCCTTCGATCCATAGGCTCGAGAGGTCGTCCTAAGCCCGGGATCGCCTTAGGCCCGAGTTCAAGCAAGCTCAAGTTCATGGGTCGACACACTAGGCTCGGGCTCGAGCTCGAGGACGCCCGAAGATAGGAGTGTGAGGAATACCGAGGTTAAGTATGCTCGCCCCCGAAATTGTACCATTATCATTTGTAACAGAATGAGCTAGATTCTTGCCACGTCCCCAAGATCATGGCGCAAATCCAGGAATAGGATTGTATGATTTCGTATTAGGTGGTTAGACAGCTGTACCAAGAATATTATTTACTGTAAATAGAAATATACCTTATTTAGGGTTCTCCTATTATATAAAGGGGACCACAATCATTGTAATATCATCTATCATTGGCAAGAATATACTATCCTACTTTTCTCTCTTACTGTTCATCAGAATTGTCCTTTACATTTATTGTTCTTACTTTATTGCTCTTAATCTATCTCGAGGTCACTACTGTTGAATAATATTGGTTTGATTCACTTGTTTCTTTCACTTCTACTTCTTATTTCTTGATTATTAATCAGTATTGAACTAAATCACACACAAATTAAGTTTCATTGTTACTCGTATTTTTGAGGTAAACAGTTTGGCGTCCACCGTGGGGCTAAAGATAATAGTGATTATTTCTTTACCGATTCTCATTACACACGTTATTTTTTACACTTTTTCTTGTCAAGCTGATTCTCAGGCTGAAACATGTCTAGCTCACAAAATGCATTTGTTCATGACAACGAAGGTCTTGGTGAAAATAATAATATAGAGGTCGGTGTACCACCAATAAACTTTGGGGAAGTGCCAAACATGAAACCAGTTGATGTTAGTTCACACATTGCTCTAGACACGGACTTAGGCACAGACCCCGGAGGAAATGTACACAGGGAAGCACGACCTGGTGGACAAGGAACACAAGGAGTGGGTGATGGGAAAATCGGCCTCCAAGTGATATTCGAGATGCTGCAAGCTCAACAGGTCGCCATTGCTCAACTTCAAAGTCAAAATAAGACTCCGAGTGTAGCTGAACATGAAAATAATCGACGTGCTGAGCCAGCGCCAGAAAGGTCAAATGGAAACGACTCGGGGACTGACCCCACCATTATGAGGATGCTCGAAGAGCTCACCAAGAAGATCGAGTACGGAGAAAAGAAGATTGAAGACAATGACAAAAAGGTGGAAACTTATAATTCCCGTGTTGACCAAATACCGGGGGCACCTCCAGTTTGGAAAGGATTAGATGCCAAAAAGTTCATACAAAAACCATTCCCTCAAAGTGCAGTTTCGATGCCTATTCCTAAGAAGTTTCGCATGCCCGATATACCCAAATATAACGGGACAACCGACCCTAACAAGCATATTACTTCATACACTTGCGGGATCAAAGGAATGACTTGAATGACGATGAGATCGAATCAGTCTTATTGAAAAAGTTTGGAGAAACATTGTCGAAAGGAGCTATGATTTGGTATCACAACTTATCTCATAACTCTATTGACTCATATGCTATGTTAGGAGACGCCTTCGTGAAAGCACACGTCGGGGCCATAAAGGTGGCCACGAGAAAATCGGACGTCTTCAAGATAAAACAAAGTAACGACGAGATGTTAAGGGAGTTATTGTCCAGGTTCAAGATAGAACGAATGGAGTTACAGCCGGTCTCGGATGACTGGTGATCACGCTCAACTGAGTCTCACAAAAGACTAAGCGGGCGTTGCAAATATAATCTGAGTATTATTGCCCAGAGTCGAACCACAGGGAATTAACCTATCAATTACTACTGTCGGATTCACTAAATTCACACAATCTGTTTTCCCAAACTTTCTGATTCACAATGGTTGATTTTCTAACAACTAAAGACTGAAAGTAATTAATTACTGAAAATTAACTAAACTTGATGTGTAAACAGTAGAAATAAGGTCTAAGGCAATGGTTTCCCCCGTTGGTAATTTCTTTGGTTGTATATATCTTATAACTACGATTTAGTTGTCTCTAACAATCATGAACGCTCAAGCTATCATAATTATTTCTCAAGTAATTATGATAATCTAATAGACGCACTCTCTCAAGCTACGCTAGCTAATTTCACAATACAGTTCACTTAGATTGCACCCGGGGTTTCGTTATCTCTAATCCAACCCCTAAACCCTCGGTTATGACTCTCGTCTATACTCCGGGAGTGATGTTGTTCATACAATCACCTAAATATGCACTCTTTCTCAAGTAGATACATAATAAATAGGGACGGATAATTGAGGGCCCTTTCAACTAATCCACAATCAAAACATAGATGAACAACTAGAGATTAACAACCAAATCCAATTATATTAATAAAACAACCAAGTCATCCCCAACGGGTTCCACCAAAACCTTAGATTAAGGTTTTTAGCTACTCATGACAATGGGAAAATAAACTACTAAAAGATTCATAATCATAAATTGCAAGAAAAATAAAGAAGAATAAGAGTAATGATGTTTTGGGTGATCTCTCACACTTGTTTTCCTTGCCAAAGTACTCTCTAAAACATTACATGCCTCCCTTGGGCGAGTTCTATTGTTTAAATAGGGTTTTGGGATAAGAATTCCGTGTTTTGCACTTCAGTCCCTCAATTTTTCGCCTCCTGCCGCGGTCCTACCGCGGTTACGCCAGGACCGCGCCCAATTGACCTCTCTGAATCCGCAACAGCTTCTCGCCGCGGTCCGACCGCGGCAGTCAATCTCCAGTTCTGGTTTGTGCATTTCGCATGGTGCACTTGGCGGATATTGTGCGATTGGCCTCTTTTTCCTCCATAATTGATCCCAAAAGTACTCCATAGCCTTCTTTTATTGTATGTAACCTGCAAAGCATGAAAAGCACTAATCAGAGCATTTTGTTATCACTTTTACCATAAAAACTATACAAGAAAGTGGTTCTTTTAGGGCTTAATCATAGTTCAATTCACCTATTATCAATACCCCACACTTAAATCTTTGTTCGTCCTCGAGCAAGTTGAACCACACTTCTAGGCCTAATCATTCGATGCATTACCCAGTTTTTATGTCACACCCGCTATTATGAAAGAACAACCTAAGCAGTGCAACAACCACACCTCAGATGAAGACTCTAATGTCATGCCACACACGTGCTTACTCTATTTACTCTAAACAGAGGTGAAAACTTGCTTTTTCTTCCCGAGTCACATGCCCTCACATCACATTTTTGAGAGAAGTTCCACACATATAAAATCAAGCACAAGGAACTATAGATAGAAAGAATTCACTCACTCTCAGCAAAGAACATTCACATGCCATACAAATACACCATAAGCTTGCCCTTAGTGTAATACTCTACTAATTGAGTTGTTTTAGTCTAAGATCAAGAGGTCTTTATTTGGTTGTAATGTAGGCTAAGTGACGGGTAGGATATATTTGGATATAGTGACTAACCTCCCTACGCACTTTTAATACATTCTTCCTTTATTCCGATTTCCATGTTCAGCCCAGTCATTCTTCCACACTTGTTTCATAAGCTACCCCCACTTCCTAGGTGCAACTGGCTTTTCTTGCCATTCACTATTTTAGGACCACCTATTTGCAAGGTCCTCCTTCTATATTTCAATATATTTATTTTATTATTTTTTTTCAACTACCATTGCACCATTCAAGTATTTTCCTGATTTCCTTTTCCTACTCCCTTATCACCCCCACACTTTGACTTTTACATGATCTTTAACAATTCAAGTGCTTCTAGGAGGCAAAACGTCAAACAGTCAAGCTATTCAACACATGGATGTAGGTTATTACAAGGTTATCAAAGAAACAGGCTTAGGCTCAAAGGGGTTAACTATGGTGATACGTACATGTGGATTCATAATTAGACCGGCTACACAAAGAAATGCCTCAATCATCTCTAAGACCAAACAACTTCTATTTCGCTTTGCAAACACACCGGGCAAGTTCTAGGTATCGCATGCAAGCACAGAATACCGGTATTTCCTCACACACACTTGGCATGTAACTCATTCCGAATTAGTTCGTCAACACACTCACATGAGTGTTCAAGCAAGACAAGGTGTGCACAAATAAGGCATAATTTACGAGTCTACAAACGAGCCTAGGACGTCGCACCCTCAAGGTTGTTTAGTTATTAGCAGGTGTGTACATTACAGGTTGCATTCCTGCCCTTACCCATCTTAGTCCAAGAGAGTCTTCAGGGTCCTAAAAATATCAAAGAAAAATCTACCTAACCCGGTTCAAGAAAAACCCTTGGAA